GTCGTCTGCAGGGCAAGGGACAAGGGGGAGGAGGTGTCAGGCGCCGCCCGCCCTGCAGCGCCCCAGGGGGAAGGGCACGGCGGCCTCTGGGCCCAGCAAGGAGTCAGGAGACAACTGCTGGGAGGTCTTCGTTGGAAGGATGAAGATCGGCGGTGGACAAACCTCCCTTTAGTAAACCTCCCCTTAATGAACACGGCCTGGGACCGAAACCGACGGACCCGGACCCGCAAAAATGATGGCCGCGACGCCCCCTAGCGAACCGAAAATGGCCAATTCACTAATCGACGTGTCAGGGTAGGAGGTCTATCAACCTCCGAAGGATTGAGCCCCATTGGGCGGCTGCTGTGCCAAAGAAGGCCGCAGAGCAAGCGGGACTTAGCCGGACTGACCGGACTTGGGCCGGATGAAGCGAGATGAAGCTGCATTAAGCGGGAGTGCGAAGGATGAGGGGAGGATTGAGAACCATTAGGCGGCTGCTGCGCCAGAGTTGGTTGCGGAGCAAGCGGGATTTAGCCGGATTGAGCGGGCTTGGGCCGGATGAAGCGAGATGAAGCTGCATTAAGCGGGAATCCGGAAGGATGAGGGAGAGGATTAAGCCCCATTGGGCCAGAGTAGGCCGCGGAGTAAACGGGATTTAGCCGGATTGAGCGGGCTTGGACCGGATGAAGCGAGATGAAGCCAGATTGATAGAATTCGGGAAGATGGAGAGGAGGATTAAACCCCTTTGGGCGGCTGCTGCGCCAGAATAGGCCGCGGAGTAAAAGGAATTTTAGCCGGATTGAACGGGCTTGGACCGGATGAAGCGAGATGAAGCCGGATTGAGCGGGAATTCGGGAAGATGGAGCGAAAGGAGGATTAAGCCCCTTTGGGCGGCTGCTACGCCACAATAGGCCGCGGAAAAAACAGGATTTAGCCAGATTGAGCGGGCTTGGACCGGATGAAGCGAGATGAAGCCGGATGAAGCGGGAATTCGGAAGGATGAAGAGGAGGATTAAGCCCCTTTGGGCGGCTGCTACGCCAGAATAGGCCGCGGAGTAAACAGGACTTAGCCGGATTGAGCGGGCTTAGACCAGATGAAGCGAGATGAAGCCAGATTGAGCGGGAATTCGGAAGGATGAAGAAGAGGATTAAGCCCCTTTGGGCGGCTGCTACGCCAAAATAGGCCGCGGAGTAAACAGGACTTAGCCGGATTGAGCGGGCTTGGACCAAATGAAGCGAGATGAAGCCAGATTGAGCGGGAAATCGGGAGGATGAAGAGGAGGCTTAAGCCCCTTTGGGCGGCTGCTACGCCACAATAGGCCGCGGAAGATACGGGATTTAGCCGGATTGAGCGGGCTTGGACCGGATGAAGCGAGATGAAGCCAGATGAAGCGGGAATTCGGAAGGATGAAGAGGAGGATTAAGCCCCTTTGGGCGGCTGCTACGCCAGAATAGGCCGCGGAGTAAACAGGACTTAGCCGGATTGAGCGGGCTTAGACCAGATGAAGCGAGATGAAGCCAGATTGAGCGGGAATTCGGAAGGATGAAGAGGAGGAGAATCCCCTTTGGGCGGCTGCTACGCCACAATAGGCCGCGGAAAAAACGGGATTTAGCCAGATTGAGCGGGCTTGGACCGGATGAAGCGAGATGAAGCCGGATGAAGCGGGAATTCGGAAGGATGAAAAGGAGGATTAAACCCCTTTGGGCGGCTGCTACGCCAGAATAGGCCGCGGAGTAAGCGGGATTTAACCGGATTCAGCGGGACTGGACCGGATAAAGCGAGATGAAGCCGGATGAAGCGGGAATTCGGAAGGATGAAGAGGACGATGAAGCTCCTTTGGGCGGCTGTCACGCCTAAAATACGCCGCGGAGGAAACGGGATTTAGCCGGATTCAGCGGGCTTGGACCGGATGAAGCGAGATGAAGCCGGATTGAGCGGGAATTCGGAAGGATGAAGAAGAGGATTAAGCCCCTTTGGGCGGCTGCTACGCCAAAATAGGCCGCGGAATAAAACGGGATTTCCCTAGATTGAACGGGCTTGGACCGGATGAAGCGAGATGAAGCCGGATTCAGCGGGAACTCGGAAGGATGAGGAAGAGGATTAAGCCCCTTTGGGCGGCTGCTACGCTACAATAGGCCGCGGAGCAAACGGGATTTAGCCGGATTGAGCGGGCTTGGACCGGATGGAGCGAGATGAAGCTGGATTGAGCGGGAATTCGGAAGGATGAAGAAGAGGATTAAACCCCTTTGGGCGGCTGCTACGCCAAATAGGCCGCGGAGAAAACAGGACTTCGCCGGAATGAGCGGGCTTGGGCCGAATGAAGCGAGACGAAGCCGGATTGAGCGGGAATTCGGAAAGACGAAGAGGAGGATTAAGCCCCTTTGGGCAGCTGCTACGCCAGAGTAGGCCGCGGAGTAAAACGGGATTTAGCCGGATTGAGCGGGCTTGGACCGGATGAAGCGAGACGAAGCCGGATTGAGCGGGAATTCGGAAGGATGAAGAGGAGGATTCGATCCGTTTGGGCGGCTGCTACGCCAAAGTAAGCCGCGGAGTAAACGGGATTTGGCCGGATCGAGCGGGCTTGGACCGGATGAAGCGAGATGAAGCCGGATTGAGCGGGAATTCGAAGGATGAAAAGGAAGATTCAACCTTTTTGGGCGGCTGCTACGCCACAGTAGGCCGCAGAGTAAACGGGACTTCGCCGGATTGAACGGGCTTGGACCGGATGAAGCGAGATGAAGCCAGATTGAGCGGGAATTCGGAAGGATGAAGAAGAGGATTGATGAAGCGAGATGAAGCCGGATTGAGCGGGACTTCGGAAGGATGAAGAAGAGGATTGAGCCCCTTTGGGCGGCTGCTACGCCAGAGTAAGCCGCGGAGTAAACGGGAATTGGCCATATCGAACGGGCTTGGACCACATGAAGCGAGATGAAGCCGGATTCAGCGGGAATTCGGTGGGACGAAGAGGAGGATTAAGCCCCTTTGGGCGGCTGCTACGCTAGAACTGGCCGCAGAGTAAACGGGGTTCAGAAGGATTGAACGGGCTTGGACAAAAGGAATCGAGATGAAGCCGGATGAAGCGGTAAGGACGAAGATGAGGATTAAGCCCTTTGTCCGGCTGCTACGCCAGACTAGGCCGCGGAATAAAACGGGATTTAGCCGGGTTGAACGGGCTTGGACTGGATGAAGCGAGATGAAGCTGGATCGAGCGGGCATTCGGAAGGATGAAGGGGAGGATTAAGATTTGTCGTTTGAAAATCCTCTGAGAGCTCAGGAGGACTTGGAGTCCACGGGCCAGGCAAATGAGGCAACCACACCCCAGCAGTAGCTCAGGAGCAGGCCCGCAGCCGTTGCTGACGAGAGTAACAGCAAGGCGTCAAAATCAGTCACCCAGAGGCCACATTAATCGCAAGCTGGATGGCGCAGTGCTTGCGGCAAAGGCCTCTGAGGCGTTCTTCAAGATCAGTCGAGGCAGCGCTCTCACACCTCTTCTCCAGGAGTTGTGGGCGTCAAAAAAATGAAGTCAGAGAACCAGTCAGCCCCGTGAGGGGGTAGCTCATCGCGAACCCAAGGTCCCATACTATCGCGTAGTATCGGACATACCCCGTAATGTCGCAAACAAACCGTAGTCCCCGTCCCACGGCGCCCAAACGTACAGTGCCTCTCCGCAGACCTGAAACGGGAAGCCATGCAAGGCCCGCGGCAAGCGATCCGCGGCTGAGACATTGCAAGCTGCGGGCCCGAAGCACGCCTAACCCTTTGGAGCCGCGCCAACATGTTAGGAATGCAAGAAGGGTCAACTTCGGAGAGCCACCGATCAAGCCTGGCCTTCAGGATCTCGGGGGCACTGCGACCCGAACGACGACGCATGCGCTGAAGGGAACAATCAAAATTACGTTGGATAGCCTTCCGAGGCGTCGTCTGGGGGAGCGTAAGGAGGATGGGGGGCATAGTGCCACGTGCAGCCGCCATCTGAGTAGTGATACAATTCGTATCCCAACCGGTGTGTAAACGACCAATGCAACAGTAATCAGAGCGGCCAAAAGCACGAAGAGTTCCCAATACGTGGCGAAAATCGGGACTGTGTTCGGCGCACCTCGCACGCGCTACAATGCTGACATGAGGGAGATGCTTCAGACTGGTGCCCCCGCCGCGCAGACCTAGGTTCTCGAGCAGTTCCGTCGGCGACGCATTCCATGGACCGCTCGTTGACAGCTGCGCACGCCGACGATAGGCATCAAGCAGGGCCCGAGACGGAGCATAGAACTGCAGCACCTACTGCAACGAGGAAAGACAAAGCACATGGAACGTCCTCAAAGTCTGCGCCAAGCCAAATCCCGCACGACGCACATCCACAGTGCGGCCCAACAGGCGCGGGATCAGCTCATCCCGCGCATGGGCAGCACCATCGAGACTGATCATCACCCCCAGATATTCGGTAGCATGTGCCATGCTAAGTTAATATGTACTGTGGGCCCATGGAATCCGCCAGATTCCGACCAGTCTGAATCGGGGCATCGCCAACAAAAAAGAGAATGCATTTTTAAGGTTCAGCCGGGGCCCAATGGGGCCTTTCCAAAGAGCCGATCAACTGCAAAATAGGCACAAGTCCAGAGAAGGCGTCAACAATAAAACAACTAAGGTCGTCACAATATGCTGGTCACCGATCCATGTGGCAGCTCCCACGGCGCAGCAGCCATCGCATCACTGGGCCCAACGCAAGCGCAAAGAGACACGTGCTAGAAGGATCCCCTTGCCTCACCCCCCTCCCGATCTCAATATTATAATCAGTCGCAGCCCCTCCCAGCAAGATAGCGCCACGACTGTTGCCATGGAGGGCGCAAAAGAAGGCGCATATAGCTTGCGGCAACCCCATGGTTGTCAGCACATGCACAAGCCATGCAACGTGCAGCGATGGGAAGGTGGCCGCGCAGTCGGTCAACAGTTGCAAACTACTCGGACTCCCTCCCATATGTTGTTGGACACCCCAGCGATCGGCGATGGCGATGTTCGACGAAATGGCCCTTCCCTTCGCGCCCCCACGCTGGTCCACATGGACAGCGCCCCCAGACAACTCTGCGAGTGGCGAACCGAAAGCAACCGACATCGATTTAGCGCCAGAGTCGCAAAGGGCTAGCGGCCGAGTAGTCTCAGGTGACCTCGCAACCCCATGCGCCTTGTCATCAGGGCACGAGCCCTTCGGCAGGAAAAAAAAACATCTCACGCATGTTCGCGAGTAAAGTGCAGCTCCCATTCTCATAAAGCTCCTCATACACAACGTAGGGTAACCTCACCCCCTCATCCACCTGCCAAGCAGCATGCGGCAGCCCACCCTTCCCAGGGGCCGTGCTCCTCCTCAACCTAGTCCTCTACAAACTTCGCATAACTCAACTTCCACTCGGGCACTTGGTCTGCTGGCAGGTCTTGCACCTGCTGGCGGCGCTGTAGAATATCAGGCCACAGTGCCCTGACAATCGGAGCGGCACGAAACACCTCGCCCCAGCGCGAAGACAGCGCGCGGCACGCATCATCATTGCCCCTGCAGACGGTCCCACCCTCGCCCCGAATGCCGACCAGCAAAACCCGCCGTCGGAACTGCTGCCAAAACTGGCGCACACGCTGAAGCTTGCAACGGGCTTGTTTCTAGACCACCTTGTCCTCCAGAGAAATCGGGCCACCTCCATCCTCCAATTCCTGTTCTTCCTCATCAGTCCGTTGTAGCTGAAGCGGGCTCGCATGCTGGCAGAGTGCGGGCATATCGAAACAGCGCGTGCGCTCGACGTCAAAATACTGCTCAACATGCGGGTGGAGTGCAAGCGCGTGCACACAGACGAAACTGCTATAATCGCACGCCCCGAATGGCCATCGCAGTCCAACAATGCTGTTCAGCAAGGCCCTTCGCAGGCTGGCTCCGGATAGCACTCCTAACCGCCGGCAACAACGCGCTGATCCTCCCTTTGGCCAACGCTAGCCGAGCAGTGGGAAGGGGGGTCTAAAGGGAGGCACACGAGCATCTCGCTAGCAACTTTCTGATATATCGGGGCGAGGCACAACCGCGCGGGCGCGCTTCGAGTCCGACGAGGGTCACAGCTCCCCAAGGTCACCACAACATGACGATGATCTGAGGTGCAGGTATCCATCTTTCCATGCACGGTGGCTGCCGCGGTCAAGTCCGCAAGAATAGCCGAGGGGGTGTTCGAATAGATCCTGTCGAGGCGCGAGGTGCGCCGCAACGTCGCCTCAGCGTTCCAGCCGAGGCGGGTGGGCTCGAGCTGCGAATGCTCGATTCACGCACAGCAAAGGCCGGAAAAGAGATCATGGAAGCTCCGATCCCCCTCGCTCTAATGCTGCCCATCCTCCGTCATCTTCCCTTCGCCCACAAAGCATAATTCCAATCCCCAACCATCAAGTTGAGAGGGCACGTGCCGCGCGGCAAGTGGGGGCAGACCGCCCGCAAGACACGCTCGTAAAACGTCGCGCCTAGACTCGTATTCGGCACGTGACAATTCGCAATCGTCATGGCCCCCCTCCTCCCATTAAGTCTCGTGACCATCGCCCCCCCCATGCGCCGCAATCTGGTGGGATATATCATCAAACTCACGGCGCAGACGCCGGCTGAGCACAATGATGACTCCACCTGCCGCCGAGGATTGTAAGAAGCTAGACCCTGCGCGCGATGTTTTAAGCCGCTGAATGAGCGAGACCACATCCCCGCGTGCCCATGAATGACATTCTTGCGTGCGAGCAATGCCGCATTTAGGACCAAGCCCAAGAGCATGCCTGTATTTCCTTGCACATGCTCAATTACCTCCACGGATCCCCCAAAACAGCCCATTGGCGTTCCACGCGCAAGCCGTCGCGCAGAAAGAAAGGCTGCGGGTGGCATCCCGAGCTGGAGCGGGGGGGGGGGGAAGTCAGGGGTTCCAGGCGGGGCTACCGTCGGACATAGCCTCAGGCCAACGTTTTGAAACGAAAGCTGCGAAGAATCCGCACCGCCGAAGGGGGGGGGGGGCGCCTCAGAGGCGGCGGCAGGAGTAGCCACCACCTCCTCAGCACGCAAACAGCGCACAGAAGCGTTGAAGAGGGCGTCTCGGTTTCTGAACGTCCCCGTCGTCTTTGTGTTGTCTTGAGACCGATCGTTTTGAAAGGCTTCGCTGAACATCGTTGCCCACAGCCGCGGTGGTTTGCCCAAGACCATCCTTTGATCTCCCTCCTTCAACCTCGGTGCCCCGCCCTTTTTTCCGTTATCCCTCTATCTCTCTGTCTCTGTCTCTCTTTTCTCTCTCTCTCTCTCTCTCTCTCTCTCTCTCTCTCTCTCTCTCTCTCTCTCTCTCTCTCTCTCGTCCTCCTCCTCCATCTCCCGTTCCTCCTCCTCCTGGGGGCTTAGAAAACTTGGCCAGGCGTTGGTTGTTTTTGGTTTTTCTGGTCTGGGAGCTCAGAAAACCTGGCCAGGCGTTTTTTTTTTTTTTTTTTTTTTTTTTTTTTTTTTTTTTTTTTTTTTTTTTTTTTTTGTTGGTTTTTCTGGTTTGGGAGCTCAGAAAACCGGGCCAGGCGTTTGTTTTTCTGGTTTTTTTTTGTGGTCTGGGAGCTCAGAAAATATGGCTAGGCGTTGTTTTTTCTGGTTTTTCTTGTCTGGGGGCTCAGAAAACGTGGCCAGGCGTTGGTTTTTCTGGTTTTCCTGGTCAGGGAGCCCACAAAACCTGGCCGGGAGGTTGGGGGCTTGCGAACTACTGCCGTCGGACCAAAAAACCAGAAAAACCAACGCCTGGCCAGGTTTTGTGGGCTCCCAGACCAGAAAAAAAAAACCAGAAAACACTGCGCCTGGCCAGGTTCTGTGAGCTCCCAAACCAGAGAAAAAAAAACGCCTGGCCAGGTTAGCGGGAGCTTGCAGGCGAGGGCGGGGCGAGGACAATCCTGGCGAGGAAGGGGCGAGGAAGCGGCGAGGAGAGACAGACAACTCGAAGGTTCATCTCAGAACCCGCCAAAAGGTAGATCTTCGGGGGGTGCGACCATGTAGTTCACACCGTGCCCTGTTCCAGTCATCCCTCCTCCTCCTCCCTTCTTCCTCGTTATCTTCCTTCCCCTCCGTTGTCCCCCTTCCTCATTTGTCCCACTTGCGTCGTGTGCCCGTGGTGAATGTGAAGCACAGATGAAGCGCAGCTATTGCACGGAGTATTTTAAGTTACCACCGCCCCCAAACTACAGTTGACGGGAGAGAAGGCGGGGCGTAACGCTCCAGATAACATAGGGGCGAAATGCTCCAGCCAGGTGCGGGGCGAAATGCTCCAGGGGGCGGAATGCTCCACATCACGTAAGGGCGAAATGCTCCAGCCAGATACGGGGCGAAATGCTCCAAGGGGCGTAATGCTCCAGATCACGTAGGGGCGAAATGCGCCAGATCACGTGGGGGCGAGATCTTCGGCAATCGAGCGAAGCAGATCGCCGTCGTTCATGGGAAGGAAGAGTGGACGAAGATGTTCAATATCGACGGGAAGAAGGTATGGGGAGGGACGCAATACATGGACGGCTTCTTCGGCAACTACAAGCAATGGGCGAACCTCGACACGTTCGTCGATCTGATGTGATGCAGTACGTTCGTGAGTACCAGTACTGGTTCGTGACCAAGAAGGAGGACCGCCTGGTGGCGTTCGGGAAGGCTTGCAAGGATTACGCCTGAGTCTGAGGCGTTTGGGGGTAGCTTCCAGAGCAGCGTTGCAGTGACGTTCTGGGAGTAGTTCGCTAGAACCACTGCGTGCTTTCTGATTAGTCTGGGTAAAGAGCGATCGCCCGCTCACGGCGGGGGCAGAACATTAGCGAAACATTGAGCCAAAAAGGATGAGACTAACCAAATAAACAAACAAACATATATATATATATATATATATATATATACCGTTGAAAAGAAATGGGCGACACAATAAAGAAAACACACTTAACACGTGATGTAATGCAAAGATACGCGGCTGAATTAGAAAAGCCGTCGGGAACGTCCAGAAACCGAGACGGCAAGAAGAGCGGCATAGGCAGAAGAGAATGCACAGCGCGTGTCACATGACCCTCATCGTCTTCATCTTTGTGGAGACACCCCAACGAAGCAAGCGGCAACGCGCGATCATGCTCAGACTGCCGAAGTGTAGACGATCCAGGAACAGGGGTAATTGCGGGTCCGCTGCGCCCCTGTCTGTCCGTGCCGTCTCGCACCCAGTCACAAGGGCGACGAATTCAATGCCTCCCGCGCGGATGGGGCGAGCTCCCCGAACGCCGAAGGTAATGGGGGCTTCCTCATGGAGAGCGTGCTCGATGTTGTCGCCATCCAACTTTAATTTGACCAAAGTGGAGGGGCACTCGTGGCTGACCAATACGTATATCGCACCGCCGAAACCATTCGACCCACACTCATGCTGGCCATTAAGCGCTGCCGTAATTACACGTCTGACCTTACCCATGCAATAAAAAAACGTCCGTCCTTGCTGGCTGATGTCCCGCTTCAGCCTCAACGTGTACTGCACCTCGGGCGAGACTGGGCTCTGGAACTTGACCTCCCCAAGAGCGCGATACATCGCCAAAGAATCCGAGCATTTGGTCGCTGTGGGAAACTCACGGACCGCCTTCCGTGGCATATCAAAGGCCTTGGTCACAATAGAATCTCGGTCAACGGTAGCCACGCATTTGCCCCGAGCCACCTCGGCAGCCCGACGCATCGCACGCCCCATCAACGGCGTATCAGAGCCAACCAAAACTAAACGGCGTGATCCTTCCTGCCCACGAGGCCCCGAAGCCTGGGAAGTAAAAGGCCCACGCTGCGCCCTCGTATCCTTGACCTGCAACTGCTGGAACCGCTGCTCGATGGTGTCCACGCGCTCTTTGACAATGGAGCAAGGGGAAGTAGACTGCAACTGACCCACTTGATTCTGTACCCCTGCCAACTTAGCTTGAACAACTTCACCGACAACCGATCGAACCGTATCGCTCATAACACCATGTTGAAGCTGTTCCAATGTCTGAAGTCGATGGCCAAGCTGAGCAATGTTGCCCTCATGGGCCGTAATACTCTCACGCGCACCCGAGATCTGAATCACCATCGTCATCTCCATCTGCTCCAGACGGCTGTTGTTCTGCTTGATGTCCGGGATCAGGGAAGTCATCCAGCTCGGCGGAGTGGACGGGGTTCTGGATTTATCACGTGAATCACGATCGCTGCGACTGCGCGAAACCGATGAAAAACGAGGCGAGACTGAACGGCTTGTCCGCCGCTGGCGCTCAGGAGTCGGGCTGCACTCCTCGCGTCGCCGCTGGCGTCGACCGCCGCCCATGACTGACGCAGGATACAAGGAGAAAAAACGGAGAGATCGAGCTGGGCGAGGCTTACGCCTACCTAAACAGCAACATCAACCTGGACCGAGGCAGCCAAGCCTGGGAAGGGGCAGCCCTTCCACCTCGGCCTCGAGCCTCTGGAGTCGGGACGGGGAAGAGTTCCCGTCTTGAGCCGAAATGGCTACGGGAAGAAGGTTAAGACCCTCTGGGCGGCTGCTACGCCAAAGTGGGCCGCGGAGTAAACGGGATCTAGCCGGATGAAGCGGGAACTCGGAAGGATGAAGAGGAGGATTCTGCCCTTTTGGGCGGCTGCAGCGCCAAAAAGGCCGCGGAGTAAACGGGATTTAGCCGGATGGAGCTGGCTTGGACCGGATGAAGCGAGATGAAGCCGGATTGAACGGGAATTCGGAAGGATGAAAATGAAGAGGATTCAACCCTTTTGGGCGGCTGCTACGCCAGAGCAAGCCGCGGAGTAAACGGGATCTAGCCGGACTGAGCGGGCTTGGACCGGATGAAGCGAGATAAAGCCAGATGAAGCGGGAATTCAAAAGGATGAAGAGGAGGATTAAGCCCCCTTTGGGCGGCTATAGGCTGTGGAGTAAACGGGATCTAGCCAGATTGAGCGGGCTTGGACCGGATGAAGCGAGATGAAGCCGGATCAAGCGGGAATTCGAAAGGATGAAGAGGAGGATTCTGCCCTTTTGGGCGGCTGCTACGCCAGAAAAGGCCGCGGAGTAAACGGGATTTAGCCGGATGGAGCGGGCTTGGACCGGATGAAGCGAGATGAAGCTGAATTGAGCGGGAATTCGGAAGAATGAAAGGGAGGATTAAGCCCCTTTTGGGCGGCTGCTACGCCAGAGCAAGCCGCGGAGTAAACGGGATCTAGCCGGACTGAGCGGGCTTGGACCGGATGAAGCGAGATAAAGCCAGATGAAGCGGGAATTCAAAAGGATGAAGAGGAGGATTAAGCCCCTCTGGCCGGCTGCTACGCCAAAGTAGGCCGCGGAGCAAAGGGGATTTAGCCGGATTGAGCGGGCTTGGACTGGATGAAGCGAGATGAAGCCAGATTGAGCAGGAATTCGGAAGGATGAAGAAAAGGATTGAATTCTTTGGGCGGCTGCTACGCCAGAGCAGGCCGCGGGGTAAACGGGACTTAGCCAGATTGAACGGGCTTGGACCGGATGAAGCGAGATGAAGCAGGATTGAGCGGGAATTCGGAAGGATGAAGAGGAGGATTAAGCCCCTCTGGGCGGCTGCTACGCCAAAATAGGCCGCGGAGCAAGCGGGATCTAGCCGGATTGAGCGGGCTTGGACCGGATGAAGCCGGATTGAGCGGGAATTCGGAAGGATGAAGAGGAGGATTATGCCCTTTTGGGCGGCTGCTACGCCAAAGTAAACCGCGGAGTAAACGGGATTTAGCCAGATTGAGCGGGCTTAGACCGGATGAAGAAAGATGAAGCCGGATGAAGCGGGCGGGATTTTTCGGACCAGGGCGAAGTCAGACTTTGCCCTCCCAGGAGTTACACCCGAAGGGGAGGGAGGGCGACGCCAGGAGGACGAAGGAGCAAGAGAAGGAGGAGGAGGAGGAGGAGGAGGAGGAAGATGAGGAGGAGGAGGAGGAGGAGGTGGAGGACAGGGAGGAGGAGGAGGAGGAGGAGGAGGAGGAGGAAGAAGACAAAGGAACAAGGCGGAAGCAAGAAGACTTTTTTCCGTCGCGGCGCGGCAGGGGCGAACCGCTCGCGCGCGGAGCAAACCCAGGCCACGGAGTCGCGAAGTGTCCCGCATGCAAGAGGGGCGGAAAGGAAGAGGAAGGCGGCCGCGGAAGGAGGGAGACGGGGGGCACTCTCACGCGGAAGCGCCGCGGTGAGCGCGCGCGGCGGCCAGGCGAGCTTCCAAACAGATGCGGGAGGGAAGGCGGGGAGCACGGCCGCGGGATCCCCACGGGTCTCCGCTTGCATTTGATGTCTCCCCCCGTGTGATAACCCTCGCTCGCTCGCTCGCTCGCTCTTTCTCTCGCTCTCTCTTACTGGAAGGTCGAGTTGCCGGCTGGTGTGTAACAAACCATGGCAAGAGCCAGCACGCATCCCATGCATCTGTATCCCCCTGCTACGCCTCCGCCCTATCTACTATCTACACCAATCGTCGGGCGCGCCATGTTGAGAGCAGTGAGGGTCACCGCAAACACCTCATCCATGGAACAGGGGTGCTAAATAATAGAAGCATGACGGAA